CCCGGTTGCTGCATGTGAAACTTTGCTATCTATACTTGATATAAATTGGTAAAATATAGCTCAAGTGTGTATGAATCAACACAAGTTTCATAAGTTTTAACAAAAGTGATGTGTATATTTTCACACAAGTTTCAACACACACTTGTGTTATTTGATAAACTTCAACACAAGTTGTTTTTTCAGTGTATCATATGCACGGTTATAGCGAATCGCCACGTTACACGTTAGTAGTAACCCTAGTGAGTAGGTCCTGGGGCGGCAGACTGCACACAGGTTCTCTCAACATTCACAAAGCAGATTCTGTCCCGTTGGCTTCCATTTCTGACTCTCTCGTTCACAAGAATTTGCTCCCAACAATATTGACTCAATTTTTTCAGGTTGTTCAGTGTTATGGCCAATGTCCCTATACTAAGGTTGACAAAATAAATAACAATCCGAATATGATTTGAACTTTGTGTCAACCTGAATGAAACTGATTTTCGACGATATATATCTAGAGAGAAATGGGGTTTAACGTCCACTCGACAAAAAACTAGGTCATTTCGGGACTAACATATAGTTTAATTTTTTTTTCAATAATTCGATTGCGCGTAGGGGTCTTTAGCAGTGGGGGAGGGGAAACCGGAGGACTCGGAGAAAACCCACGAGGTTGGACAGACGACCCTACTCCTTGTCACGTACAACCGGGGATTCGAAACCACGCCAGTTGACTCAATGCGGGCTTTATGCTAACCATTCGGCCACCCAACCCCCTCGGCGATATAATGATCTGCAAAGAACTATAGGCAATACATCTATATTCTACCTGCACACACAGTGTTACAGCCAATATTTTGTTGGCATTCATTGTGGGTGGGGTTGTTGATGGTGCCCTAGATTTGAAACCGCCCCTCTTTTCTATTCACAGGGGGGATCACGTGGCTAAGTGGCTAAGACGCCGGCTCGCTAGCCTGGAGGTCGGGTGTTCGATCCCTGCATTGGCAAAGAAAGTTCATTCAGAATTTCCGGCGTGGTTTCCCCTTGTTAGTGATGCAGGACGGAGGGCCTGACAAGGACAGCCGTCTAGTCGTTCGGATGGTACGAAAAACCGAGGTCCCGTGTACACATTGGCGTGCACGTAAAAGATCCCTCGGCAGTTAGAACTCGATATAAGAGTAGGCCGTAGCGCCGCTGCCCGGGCAAAGTTTCCCTCATAGCACACGGTATGGCGTATGCCCCTCTTCATTGGCCCAGTTTAGGAGCAGAACAGTAGGACGTTAAACCCCATTTCATTTCTATTCACAGCTTCTAAAAATCCTGATTCCATATTATGATAGCTAACCGTGTTAACGATAATAGAACAAGTCATTATGACACACGCGAACATTGTGCTAGTTGACTAGTTGCCACTACATACAGTAAATATTTAACATCTTGTACAATTGTTAAAGTGATCATACACCAGAATTTACCCACCAGAAACATTTCCTGCGTTTGTCAAACAGATAAGTGAATAAGTGAATACTATTGGTATTGAGACTTGAATGAGGCGCAGTATGCGAGCCAGCCGATCATTTGGAAATTTAAAATTATTTTGAGAAAATTGTTTCGCATCCCTCGTTTCAACTGGTCGTCTATACATATAAACATAAACTGCGAAGTGAAGCCCCCAAAGCATTTAAGAGATGCCTTCCTGTGTACAAACTGGGTGATTTGATGATATATTTGAACTAAAACATATTCAAACTGATTAAGATGTCGTGTACAAACTGAGTGGGGGATAAGGTCTGTCATTGAGTCAATTGGCGTGATTACCAGGTTGTACATGATAAGGAGTAGGGTCGCCTGTCCATCCCCGTGGGTTTTTGCCGGGTCCTCCGATTTCCTCCCACTGCTAACGACCCCTAGCAGATGAAATTGAACCATATGTTAGTCCCGAAATTACATCTACTTTCCATATATATCAATTTTCACGAGAATGTATCTTTAATTTTTTTTTATATTCCACCGTTACTCGATTACTTAAGAAACAAAAAAAACAATACAATTAACCTACTACTGGTTTGTCAATATATAATGTTAGAAAATCTAAAAAGTCACAATCAACACGTCCGTATTATATGATATAGGAGCGTAAACGTATATTTCTATATGTATCCAGCTAGAATTAGTTTGGCTGAGTTTTTTTTCTTTTTGCCGGGAATGATAAACGTTTCCACATAACGATAAGAAATTAAAACTACTTTACGGACAGGCAAGGGCAACTTTTTAAATGTAACTGTAAAACGGGCAATATTGTACAATATTATCTAAGGGCAATAAGAACTATTTAAAGAAATCAGGTCTCGACCCTAACGAACTATCTAATTACAGACCTGTATCGAACATTCATTTCATGAGTAAAGTTAAAGAAAAGGTTGTTTTTAATCAGATGCATAAGTATTTATCTTGTTTTAACTTGTATTCAAAGTTCCAGTCAGCATACAGGGAATTTCATAGTGTAGAAACGGTCTTAGTAAGAGTTTACAATGACATTTTAATTTCTTTTGGGAAGGGGGAAGAGGTGGTTTTAGTTCTTTTAGATTTGTCAGCAGCTTTCGACATGATCGATCATAATATTTTATTGTCACGTCTTAAATCTCGTTTTAATATTTCTAATACTGTTTTAAGTTGGTTAGAATCATATATGAAAGGTAGAGGCCAAAAAGTATGTATAATTGGTAAATATTCAAATTCAATAGAACTTAAATATGGTGTACCCCAAGGAAGTGTTTTAGGTCCAATTTTATTTACCCTATATTGCTCCCCACTAGAGGACATCATTATACACCATGGCCTAGATATCTCATGCTCTATGCAGATGACACCCAGTTATACCTCAGGTGCAAAAAAGTGGCAAATAAAATATGTAGAATAGAGCAATGTATTACTGAAATTAGGACGTGGATGATGGAGAACAAATTAGCTCTAAATGATAAAAAAACAGAGGTTCTACACTTTCATTCTAAATTTCCAAGAAAAGAAAACCTTAATATTATAGATACACTTATAGTTGGTGATTCACGTGTTAATTCCTGCACAACTGTTCGTAATTTGGGTTTTAATTTCGACTCTTTTTTATCTTTGCAAAATCATATTTCTATAGTTTGTAAATCTGTATCATACTCGTTATTCCGTATTGGGCGTATAAGAAAGTTTTTAAATCGAAATTGCACCGAATCACTAGTTCACGCTTTAATCACCTCTCGTCTCGACTTCTGTAACAGCCTTGTCTATAATCTTAAGCCTAAGCACAGCACTCTGGATTGTCTTCAACTTCTTCAAAACCCTGCCGCCCGTTTAGTCACTCGCACTAGATTGCATGAACATGTCACTCCTATCTTACACGAACTCCATTGGATTCCTGTCTCGTCAACGCATAAAATTCAAAATTCTCATCTTAACTTTTAAATGTCTCCACGACCAAGCACCTCTTTAAATTTCAGAACTACTAACAACATGGGTTCCACAGAGGTCCACTCGCCAGGCTACGTTTGAAGGGGGAGGGGTTAGACTAAACCTACCAGAGTATACCGGGTGTGACTTCTATGGATCCCGTGCTTTCTCTATTGCTGCACCCACTCTTTGGAATAACCTGCCACCCAACATTCGCACAATAGACACTTTAACTTCTTTTAAAAGGGCCCTAAAGACCTTACTTTTTAAAGAATATTACTCAGTAATATTTTTTTAACTTTTAAGCATTTTATTCAATGTTTTATATAATGTTATTTATATGTCTTATCGTGTATATTTTTGCATTGTATTTGTATTTTACTCTGTAAAGTCCATCGAGATGTATATGTGATTGACTATAATCAATAAATTATATATATTATATTATAAATGTAAACCACAAAGTCGAAGGCTCCGACAATTCAAATCTGATCGACAGAAAAGTTAACATGATTGTTCCTCGGACAATTGATAGACTTAGTTGTTGATATGACATCACTAATTCAAGTTGGCGGCGATGACACCATGATTGGTGGTCGGGCTTGTGAGGTTTTTTTTGGTTTTTTTTATTGCAATGTGAATATTTAAAAATGAAGGGATAATATATTTTGTTTTCTTCTTATCAATATTGATTAAAATAACCTAATATTGAATTCTAATTCGTATTTAGCCCCTGTAACGTCAGAGGGGGTCGGGGCGAGTGGGTTAATGCGTGGGATTTAGATCGGGGTGGCCGAATGAATAGTACGTGCGCGCTGTATCATATTGTCTGTCATTGAGTGAATTGGGTGGTTTCAATCCCTGGGTTGTATGTGAAAGGTGTATGGTCGCCTGTCCAACCTCATGGGTTTCCTGCGGGTCCTCCGGTTTCCTCCCACTGCTAAAGGTCCCTAAGAGCAAGCGAATTATTGAAATAAAATTGAACCATGTGTTACTCCAAGAATGACCTAGTTTGTGTCGCGTAGACTTTAAACCCCCCAAATAGTAGTCACGAACTGGTATATGGAAGGGGGGGGCAGCGTATGCGCCTTCTATCCCAAGCCTGTCCGTTACAAAGAGTAGGCTCGCCCGTCCAAATTCTCAGGTTCTCCCCATGGGTATAAACCCACCCTGCCCCTTCCCGATGCTATCTACCCCCTATTTAATTATATTTGAACCCTAATATATTAATGCCACAATGACCTACTTTGTATCGGGTCGACGCCAATCGTTTATTTTAGTGACCAGTAACACGTGTTTTGTATTACATCTGACTGATATATTAGAATTTGGGACAATGAAATCTAATTTCTACATGTGTCATTTGGCCTTGGAACAGTAATATATGATAGTAATACTAATATATGTTTGTACTTACTTTCGATTATAAATTACGAAAACGTCATGAATTCGGTTATTCTACACACTTAAGGGTCAACACGTGTTATGTATAATTTATTTATAACAGTGGAAAAATCTCTCACAATTTATGTTTTACCGTCAACCGGACATATTCAAGTTGTCACTGATCAAATATTCTGTTGTTGTGTACCACTGTATTTGAATGATGTAGCGATATGTTCGTGTGTCTTAATGCACTTAATCGAAGTTTCAACCTTTTGTGTTGTTAAAGTACTTTCCATCAAACGGTGCCTTGGTTAATGGACCTTGAATTATTATTAATTAAACATAGCAGTACAAACTCTTCATTGTATGTCAATAAGAATACAGTGGGGGATGATTACCGCGACTTCCATAAAATTATCATATAAAGTGTCTAGCAGAACAATGAGTAAATATATCATAAAACACTACCATCGTTGGATTAACGTTCTACCTTGCTACTAGAAGTTTGCTTGTGTGGATGTTACATGTACATTGACAGCGCAGGTAAGGGAATATGCCGAATCCTTAGACTTATTCTTGATTTGTTAAAAGGACATAGGTAATAATATCGCTCCTTGGTGAACATTCACCTTAAACCATAGTGTGAATAGGGAGGTGTCTAGCTGATTAACTCCATCCGAAATTATCATCACAATATACGTGCAGCTGTAATCGTTACGTTCTTTAAACGTGTGTGCCAATAGGACATAAATAGTACCCCCCAAGGCAACCCTTGACCCGGCCCCTCGTGTTTTTTAATGTTGTATAATCTATGATGCATGGATCTTCGACACTTTTAAACTAGAATTTATATCTGTAAGTTGTGCATGTATTGTTATTAATATAATGTCTTTATGTGTACGTCGTCGTCCAATGCATGCCTGTAAGTTGCTATGTATTTTGTTTATGTTTACATTAGTTTAAGAGTTAATCGGGATTTCCTGACGTAGTGTCCCTTTGTCTAGTTGTTCGGATGGGTCGACAAACTGAGGATCCGTATTTATATTTGCCTGCAATTAAACAAGCTCTGGAAATTGGAATTTGATATAAGATTAGGTCATAGTGACGCTGTCCGGGAAAAATTTCCCTTATAGCACACTGTATGGCGTATGTTCGGAGCAGAGCAGTAGGACGTTAAACCCAATCTCAATTCATTGTTTTACTTGATTATTTTTATTTAGATAATAATTCGGCAAGATGAAGTTTGATGACGTATTAGAATATCTTGGAGAATTTGGTGTATATCAGAAACGATTATATATATTGGCATGTATGCCGCCATTATTTACCGGTATATTTATCATTTCACCTGTATTTACAATGGATATACCCAACCACAGGTAAGTTACCTTTACAGTTTAGGTGAAGGTGTTCTTGAATGATTGGTGGGGGGAGGGGGGGACGAATGGTTAGTATGTGCGTGCTGTATCATAATTGAGTCAACTGGCGTGGTTGCTAATCCTCGGTTGTACGTGACAAAGAGTTGGGTCGCCTGTCCAACCTTGTGGGCTTTCTCCGGTTCATCCGGTTTTCAAGCGAATTATTGAAATAAAATTAAACCATATGTTAGTCCCGAAATGACCTAGTTTGTGTCGAGTGGACGTTAAACCCCATTTCTCTCTCTCTTCTCTTGAATGATGAATTAATGGTTAATCTGTGTACAATAAAAAAAAAGATCGACTAAGATGTCATTGAGACATTAAAACAAAACAGTTGACGGGTATTGTCGTAATTGAACTGGAAAGTAATGTCCTATGACATTGGCAAAGTAACCAAGACAGATTCATTTAAGACTAAAAATGTCCAATTATAAAGCGCTATATACACACAACGTGCTCCCCAACGTTTATGCTACGTTCCCACTACGTTCACGATGTGCGCTACGATTCAAGTCGTTGTTTTTAATCGTGGATTAATTGTGGTCATTCTATCAGGTTTGATCATATATTGTGGCCAGTCGTAGCAATCGTGCTGATCGTATCGAAACGTGTCCGAACGATAGTGGGAAACTAGCATTACACAGGATTACCAAAACATAGCCAAGTAAAACTTACCCACGTAACAGCGGGCAGACCAAGCGGAGATGCACCAGCAAGAAAATGAAATGGGGTTTAACGTCCTACAGTTCTGCTCCGACTGTCTAATGAAGATGGGCATACGCCATACAGTGTGCTTGTAAGCGAAATTTTGCCCGGCGTACTTTAATATCGAATTCCAACTGCCACGGGATCTTTTATGTACACACGGGACCCCATATTTCCGTCACATCCGAACGACTAGACAGCTTTCCTTGTCAGACTCTCAGCCCTTCACCGCTAACCAGGATAAACCACACAGAGAAAGTAACGAAGATTGGTGTGTTAGAAATTGATTTTTCTTGAAAAATCAAACTGAAAGTTATTTTAAATCAGTATTTAAATGTACACTGTAAAATAAGTGCACAATGGTCACACATGCCCGGAACCGCCATCCGTTGCAGGATAGGATTTCAACCCAGATTCCTTACCACTGGATTACAAAGACTACCTGTATTTCCTAGCATCTGTCAGATGTGCCGTGCCATCTACATCTAATGCTGCTTATGCTATACAAGGCACTGACATCAAGACTTGATTAACCAGTCTATTCCTTGTATTAAGATTGAGAATAACAATCAGATTTTACTTTCGTTTTATCTTTCAGATGTGCCGTGTCATCTTTATCGAATGACACGTATGCTATACAAGGATCGTGGCACGAAGACTTGATTAACCAGTCTATACCCAGTATTAATGATGGTTGGTCTAAATGTACTATATATAATTATACTGAAGAAGGATATGAAATAGAAGTTAATTGTAATAAATGGGTTTATGATCGATCACAGTATCTAGATACATTTATGTCACAGGTAGGAATGACGTTATGAATGAATGAATGAATGAAAATACTTATAATTTGCCATTTCCAGAAAACTGCTCAACCGCGCATGGGAAAATTCATCTATGACACAAAGCTGAACACACTAGTCAAATATTAGCCTTTCATAGTAAGCTTCACGGAAAAAAATGTGTCCTTAGTCTCGATGTGAAGATATCAATTTTGTCCAAAGCTCTTATCTCCAGGACCAGCACGTATTCAGTTTATTTCCTTCAAAGTAGGACATTCGGAATCGTTATAACGATGGACATAATGGGTTAGATCGTCAACCCTAACCCTATCCCTGGATTTAGCCCTAACGCTTACTCTATAACCTCCAATCTCGCCAACAATCACGTGCCCAATCGCGTGCCCTAACATGATCTTGACGGAATCTTGAATTGGCTTTTATTCAGTTTACTTCCTTCAAGGTAGGACGGTTAGAATCATTATAACGATGGACATACTGGCTTAGATCTATTTCATAAGGCCCACTTCAAGTTTGATCAAAGGTCACGAGATGTAAACAGGGCTAGCGCTAATCCCAAACCTAACCCAATCCCTGATTTTAGTCCTAACGCTTACCCTATAACCTACAATTTCGTCAACAATCACGTGCCCTAACATGACCATGACGAAATCTTGAGTTGGCCTTTGTAAATAGATCTAGTCGGACATACTGGGTAGTTGCACAGGGGCCCAGCGAGCAAAGGAGCTTGATGTTAATCTATGTGTGTATAACTTGATGTTTAAACATATAATTCGTCTTCATTAGCCCAGTCGGAGCAGAACAGTAGGACGTTAAAACGCCATTCCATTTTATTTAAACATAAATTTTCTTGGAAGCACCAATACAATCAGTATGATAAATTGTATTGACCATTTACACCCCTGCGCGGAGATTCGATGGACGAATGGTTAGCGCGTGCGCGTTGTATCATAAGGTTTGTCATTGAGTCAACAGGCGTGGTTTCGATTCCACGGTTGTGCGAGACAAGGAGCAGTAACGCCTGTCCAACCTCGTGGGTTTTGTCCGGGTCCTCGTGTTTCCCCCACTGCTAAAGACCCCTACGCGCAAGCGAATTATTGAAATAAAACTGAACCATGTGTTAGTCCCGAAATGATCTAGTTTGAGTCAAGTGGATGTTAAACCCCATTTATCTCTCTCTGTACTCCCGTTTTCGCTTTGTGCCATATGATAAAATTATGAAGATCTGGGTGACGCACCCCCCCCCCCCCCCCACGACACACACACACCTTTGATATCTGTCTTTGTCTTTGTGAATAATCTACACGCAGGTAGGCAAAGGCAAAAAAATGAACTAGTAGAAGTGTCGACAATTACGATCTTGTCATCAACTGTTTGTCTTGGAATGGCCATGAATGATGTTTAAATTAAAGAAGATTTCAGATGTAGTTGTCCCCCTTTTCTTTGTATCCACTGGATATCCATGAAGTGAAATGGTCTGATTCCTACATTTCAGTTAAATCTAGTTTGTGGAAAAGAAATCTACCGATCGCATGCTAATCTGGTCTTATTTATTGGAAAATTATTTGGAGCAATTGGAATGGGAATAATTTCAGACAAGTATGTATCTCTGATTCATTTTTGCGACAAAGTAAGTTAGGATAGTATTGTCATTTCTTCACCAATCCCGACCAGATCACAACCAGCCGCACCTGTAAGTCGATTCAAATTATCTGCTCATCAAGGACCGAAAAATTGAATACGCCCCCCCCCCCGGATTAACCCAGAGGTTAGTGTTGCGGAACGGAATGAGACTACTGGGGAAAGCGTATCCCCGTCTTCATTAGCCCAGTAGGAGCAGACGAGTAGGACGTTAAACCCTATTTCATTTCATTTAAAGGACGTACTAGCGTATGATGGACCAAATACCGAGCCTGACGTCATCGCAGCCATCTTCGAGTCACCATTGATTGGCAGTTGTACCGGAAACAAGCATGCCACGTTGCATGTTGATCTACATGAAATGTCGGAGTCTTAGGCTATTTTCGAAGAGCCCTATACAAGAACAACAATATAAGTAACGCTTGGGGCCCACTTTCTGGTCTAAAGCTATTTGTGAATGTCTGTCATTGAGTCAAGTGGCCTGGTTTCGATTTCCCGCTTGTACCTGGCAAGGAGTATGATCACCTGTCCAACCTCGAGGGTTTTCTCCGGGTTCACCGCTTTCCACACACTGCTAAAGACCCCTACGCACAAGTGAATTATTGAAATAAAATTTAAACATAATATGTTAGTAACGAAATGGCTTAGTTCATTGTCGAGTGAACGTTAAACCCCATTTCACTCTCTCTCTCTCTCTTTCCAGTATTGGTAGAAGGAAGACACTAATGATGAGCCTCACACTCATGACTGTATCGGGGATAACAACGGCCTTTTCTACGGAGTTAGTGAGCTTTCTTATTGGGAGATTTTTTGTTGGTATCGGCTCAATGAGTTGTTTTCTAATATCTTACGTTATTGGTAAATATTAACCAATCTGATTACAATACAGATCTATATTTCGATTCGTTTTTTTTATACTTTCGATTGCCTCTACTATATGAAGATCTGACCAGTTGTTGCGATAGGTCACGTTAGAGGTCATACGAGCGGCTTTTGACCTATGACATCAGACATTTGATTAACCAATCAGCATTGATTTTACTAGTGGATTACCCACGGTTCCGTGCAAAACAAGCCTAATGCTCGCCGTAACAGACCGTTTCATTGGCTAATACCTCACACGTCAATGATAACAACTCTTCCAGATCCTAGTGTAGTAAAGACAAATAAGACGAAATTTCAAACTATAAAACGAAACGAAATAGGATCCGTGTATTAATCAGATTAAATATGAACATACAATTATCTTTTAAGGGAGTCACGGGTGCTCAGGGAGTAAGGCGTTTTCTCGTTAACCTAGAAATAACGTGTTCGATCCTAGTGTTGGCCGAGAAAGTTCCCCCTTTTCAGTGTTGAAGACCTGGGGTATGCACGTAAAAGATCCCTTGGCAGTTGAAATTCTTTGTAAGAGCAGGACACAGTGCCACTGTATGCCCGTCTTCATTAGCTCCGTCGGAGCAGGACCTTAAACCCCGTTTCATTTCATATTATTTTACTGTGTACGATGGAACTGAATATTGAATTAATTCCAGAATGTCTCAACTTCCCCCATAACTCATGTTTTCGACCAGTTGGTTTACTTTGTGAACCTAGTATACTATGACTTATCTGTTTCATATTGAGCTTAATGCTATATCCAAAAGTAATGCTATAAGCTGCATTCCATAAACTAAAATTGAAACTGATACAAGAGTCTGCAATGCTACTTTAAATTTGCTAAACTTATATCGGATACGGGTGTTTTCTTCGTATTAATAGAAATTGATATTGGACTTTGTTGGTGTTATTTTTTTAGATTTAAGAGAGCGAGAGAGAAATGGGGTCTAATGTACACTTGACACAGACTAGGTCATTTTTGTACTAACAGATGGTTCAGTTTTATTTCAACAATTCGCTTGTGCGTAGGGGTCTTTAGCAGTGAAAGGAAACCTGAGTAAACCCACGGCGTTGGACAGGTGACCTTCTCCTTGTCATGTTCAAGCGGGGAATCGACATCACGCCATTTGACTTAATGGCGGACGTTCTCATCCAACGTTCTTGGCACTGATCTTAGATCGTGTTGTTACTGATCGAATTGTTACTGATCTTAGATATTATTTTTATTGATCTTAGATATTCTTATTACTGATCTTAGACAATATTTAAACTGATCTTAGATATTATTATTTACTAATCTCAGATCATAACATTATTGGCACTGATCTTAGATATTATTGGCACTGATCTAAGATATTATTGATATTACTGAACATAGATCATATATATTATTGTTACTGATCTTAGATACCGTTGTCTTTATTAGCCCAGTCGGTGCAGAAAGGTAGGACGATAGACACTATTTCATTTCAAGTCTGATGTCAATATCAATCAAGTGATACCCATATCTAATGTTTTATTCCCAGGAATGGAATTTGTTGGACCATCAAAGAGAAAGCTAGCTAGTAATGGGTTCATGTTATCCTGGGTAATGGGGCTATTTTTGCTCGGTTTATTAGCCTACTTTATACGAGACTGGAAGAATCTAACACTGGTTACGTCTGTACCGAACATCGTGTTTATATCGTATTGGTGGTAAGTTCTCAATAAATGTGGCCACTATCATAGATTCTGGTCTCCTGTCTATCCAAGTACGTATTGCTTGAACTATGATCGGACATGTTGGACCAAGATCATTGTCGGTAAAAACTGACAAGTATTATATCTGATTTTTCACCAATCTAATTAAAACACAGATCCTATTTCGTTTCATTTTTTATAGTTCAAAATTTCGTTTTACTTGTCTTTACTACACAAGGATTTAGAAGAGTGCTTATATAACACGCGTTCTGGATATTGTGAGGGATTCGTCAATGAAACGGTCTGTTACGGCGAGTTTTGGGCGTGAGGTGCATGGAACTGTGGGTAACCCACTAGAAATATCAACGCTGATTGGTTAATCAAATATCTGACGTTATAGGGTCAAAAGCCGCTTGTATGAATCCTGACGCGACCTCCCACTATCGACAGAATAAAAACACGAAACGAAATATAGATCTGTATTTTAATCAGATTGGTTTTTTCGCAACCCGATAATAACCATCTTTAATATGTTACGAACAGGTCAGGAATTTTGAACTAAGTTTATCATAACTCGACTATTTAGCATAAGCTGACAACATAATATTAGTTCTGACTCACCACTGACAGCCAACCATCCTGCTAGGGACAGGACCATTTAGATTAAATTTATTATAAATCTATTTTTTCAGTAAAACCTAACGGAATAGTATTGATGACTCTCCACTGGTCTTAACCGTCACTGATATGTTAAGAACTAAGTTTACTAGAAACACCTGGAAATATATTATCTCTGATTCGCCACTACGGATCACCCATCAAGCCAACCTGTTTCACAGAGAATTGCGAGTCCTCTAATATATCTGTAAAAGATAACTGCCTTTAGCACGTGCCGTCACAGCACGCGGCGTCAATCATTGGCTGAATGGCGCGTGCATTGTTTACATAAGATGTTACTGCTTCGGGCAGAATGCTGCCTTTTAGTCATTTTAATACCCATTTAAACTATAGAAAATAATTTTACCTACAAATACTTTAAACGTCTTTATTTATTTGTCTAATGCATCAAAAAATGTTTTAGAATTTAATTTGTCGGTGGAAAAAATTAAGACTCATTAAGTCGCATTGATGTTATCCTGATCAGCGTGCCGTCAAGCTAACAACATGGCAATTTCTGACTAAAATAATTATGACGCTATTTTAAATAAAAGATGTAGAAATATTCATTCTGATTCAAGGTTATTACCAGAATCGCCAAGATGGCTTCTATCCAAAGGTAGATATAAAGAAGCAGAAGCAATAATACGAAAGGCAGCTAAGGTCAATGGGGTGGAGCTTCCTGGAAGTCTTTTTGATAAATCATCCCTTGAATCACCTAAGAGTATTCAAATATGGAAGATATGTACAACGCCTCAACTACTGAAAATATCACTCATAGTTTTCTTCAACTGGTAAATCGATAATTCTAAATTAAATTATGGTTTGATTCTAATAATGAAATATAAAAATATATCATGAACACATTAGTGTATCAATTTGAAGATTCTTTCATATGTTATGAAGGAGATCTCTGGGTTTTTTTATCGTTGGTGGTCGAGAAAGTTCCTCGAAATATTTCGATGTATTTTCCCCTTGCCGGTTGTATTGGAAAAGGGACAGTGTCTTGTCATTCTGCCCCGGGTAAACGCACGTTGTCGTACACGTAGTCGAACTACCGATAGGTGGAATTCGCTGTCTGGGCAAAATGACCTCTTTAATATTGGAACAGAAACGTAGATCTGTCTTGAACTCCATTATATTTGTAGACAATGGAAGTGAAATGAAATGAAATGAGGGGTTTAACGCCCTACTGTAGTGCTCCTACTGGGCTAATGAACACGGGCATACGCCATACAATGCTAAGATTGAAAAATATGTACGGGCAGCGGCACTATGGCCTACTCTTATATTGAATTCCAACTGCTAAGGGCTCTTTTACGTGCACGCCATTGTATACACGGATACTCGATATTTTCGTACCATCCGAACGACTAGACAGCTGTCCTTTTCAGGCCCTCCATTCTGCTCCTGAGACACGGTGGCTAGGTGGTTAAGACGCTGGCTCGCTAGCCTGGAGGTCGGGTGTTCGATCCAGAAAGTTCATCTGGATTTTCCGACGTGGTTTCCCCTTGTCAGTGGTGCAGAACGGGGGGCCTGACAAAGACAGCTATCTAGACCTTCGGATGAGACGGAAAACCGAGGTCCCGTGTATACATTGGAATGCACATAAAGATCCCTTGGCAGTTGGAATTCGATATAAGAGTAGGCGATAGTGCCGCTGTCCGGGCAAAATTTCCCTCATAGCACACTGTATGGCGTATGCCCGTCTTCATTAGCCCAGTATAGGAGCAGAACAGTAGGACGTTAAACCCCATTTCATTCCATTTCATTTCCACTCTGCTCCACTGACAAGAGGGAACCACGCCGGAAAATCCCGATGAACTTTTTCGGCCAATGCAGGGATCGATCGATTAGCGTCTTACCAACTTACCCACATGTAGACATGATGATGAAAATAGTTGTATTTTACGTCAGTATGATCATGTCTACATGTAGACAATGGATTTGTTCATTTTGTAGATGGGTTCCAGGCATGACTTATTATGGTTTAACGTTAAATGTTTTATTAAAATGGATTTGTTTTTGTAGGGGGGTTGGTTAGCACGTGCGTGCTGTATCATAAGGCCTGTCATTGAGTCAACATCCGTGGTTTCGAATCACCGGTTGTACGCGACAAGGAGTAGGGTCGCCCAACACGGTGGGTTTTCTCCCGTTTCCTCTCACTGCTAAAGACCCCTACACCCATTCGAATTATTGAAATAAAATTAAACTATATGTTAGTCCCAAAATGACCTAGGTTGTGTTGAGTGGACGTTAAACCCATCTCTCTCTCTATCTCTCTCCCTCTCTCTCTCTTTCTCTCTCTCTCTCTCTCTCTCTCTTTATAATTAACTGCAACGCATATTTGATTATTTTGCAGAAAATAAACTAGGTCATTTCGGGACTAATACATGGTTCAATTGTAAAATAAACAAACATCCAAATAAAATAGTATTTTAGAGGTTGATTGGCCAAAACAAACCTCTAAAATACTCTTTTATTTGGATGTTTGTTTATTTTAAAATTGAACCAAAATAAGATATATCAATAATAAGATATATGTCTTCCTCCCGGTGAGTTTTTTTATGAGAACACGCTATCTGCAAGTGTTCGAGGTCCAGTAAAATCATTTGGGTATAATATGCCAGGAAAGCACGCGGATATCTTTATATCTGTCTTTTGGTTACTTATTAAAGCGTTTCATTTGTCTTTTAAATGATTCAGGCTCCAATGCAGGCGTCTTTGAAAAATCCCCCTCTTGTCAAACTTGCATCGATTCTTCGAATAATATCACTACTGAACAAATTATCCGGTAATCCACAGGTGGCGATGTAACCGGCCGCAAATGCTAGTTTTGACAAACGGAGAAGTTTCGCTGAAAGAGAGATGTTAATTCATACAGAGAATGTATCCCCCACATTAGCACCTCTCTCTCTCTCCCTCTTATGGTTTAACTTTAAATATTTTACTTATTTAAGACAATGACTTTGTTTTTTGTAGGTTTGTTGCAAGCATGACTTATTATGGTTTAACATTAAATGTTTCAAATCTAAGCGGCGATACTTATCTCAACTTTACAATTTATAACGTAGCAGAAATGATCGCCTATATTTTGTGTCTTCTACTATTAGACAGATTAGGAAGGAAGATTTTACACTGTTCTTTTATGTTATTTGGGGGTATAGCTTGCCTGAGTACCATGTTTCCGGTTATATATGGAGATGAATGTAAGTAGAAGGTTTATAGTAGGTTACCCACACTTTCACAACCGTTTTCACGGCAATACTATATATACCGGAAAACAACGGAAAACAACGAAAGACAACGAAAAACACCGAAAAACAACCGGAACGCGCCGGGAAAACATCATGTTATGCTAAATACCGAAAAACACCGGAAAAACACTGAATACCCGAAAACACACTAAATACCGGAAAATATCCTAAATAGGTCACCTGGAGCCTGGTCCTCTGTATGCGGGGTGGGGGTAGGGTTAGGGTTACGTTTTTCCGGTGTTTTCCAGAGGACCAGCGGGGGGTTAAAGTTAGGGTTGGGGTTAGTTTTTTCCGGCTTTTCCCAGAGGACCAGGCTCCGGATTCGGTATTTAGTGTTTTTCTGGTATTTTCCGGTATTCAGTAAAACATCGTGTTTTCCGGTTGTTTTCCGGTGTTTTTCGGTGTTTTCCGGTATATAGTATAAACCCAGTTTTCGTGTTTTTATAAAATGGCCCACAGTACAGCTTTAGTAAACGATTAGCTAAATTCCTGATGTGGGGAAACACATTTAGGTTTAATTGTTCTATCGATTAAATTATTGAATAACGTATTTGTACACTATTCTTTATTAGTAGAATTCATTACTGGACTGGGGGCCGCGGTAGCTCTATGAGTAAGACGCTGGCTCACTAACCAAGGTCCCAGGTTTTGATCCCAGTAAAGTTCCCTTAGTCAGGAGTACACGACGGATGACCTGATAGGGTACACTTAATGAAAAGCAACGTTGACAGCTGGAATTTAATTATTTCGCGGTCAAACTTTCACTCATAGCATGCATGCCATTTACTCGTCTCCATTAGCCACCGTGGAACGGAACGGTAGGGCGCTAGACTAGTTGTACTTCATTAATTCGGGGGGGGGGGGTATGGCTGAATGGTTGTCGTGTGCGCGTTGTATCATTAGGTCTGTCATTGAGTCAACTGACTAGATTTTGATTACCCGTACGTGAGAAGGAGTACGGTCGCCTGTTCAACCTCGTGGGTTTTCCCCGAGTCCCCCGGTTTCCTCCAACAACTAAAAACCCTTACGCGCAAGTGAATTAATGAAATAAAATTAAACCATATGTTAGTCCCGAAATGACTAGTTTATGTACAGTGGACGTTAAACCCCCATTTCTCTCTCTCTTTCTTCATTAATTCAACAATAATTCATATTAAAATATTATATATTACAGCTCACATATGGATGACATCAGCCTTATCGATGGTTGGAAAATTGTCGATATCAGCAGCTTATGCCACCATATATATCTTTAGTACAGAACTGTTTCCAACAGTTCTAAGAAACTCAGCTTTAGGAAGTAGTTCTACCTGTTCACATTTTGGGGGAATGTTATCACCCTATATTGCTGATCTAGTAAGTATTTATACAGCAAACATTGTTAGTCATTTACGGGACGCATAGAGCCCTGAAATCACAGTCTGCTCGCTCATGTGCTCATCGTTGTAGACTAACTATCGTTGAAAAAATCATTCGGCGTCCCAGAAAAGATATAAATCGACACCAAAAACATGGAAATCGATCAAGTTGAAGCGTTTTGGCGTACAACACCTGTTTCGGCGAGATGACGTCATTGTGACTTCACACAGTTGTAATGACGTCATGCACGACCGTTGAAATCATTGTTTTTGAGTGTGCTTGCCCTGTAATATCCCCAAAATGTAACTGATGTTCTTGTATTAGAGAAATTCCCTAATCACTGTATTCTAAAAACGGCAAAAAAACAACATGGCAGATATCGATGACGTCATCAGCCGCTACGACGTCATGACGTCATCAATTACGTCGACCAACCATGCAATGTGAAGAGGATGTCAATATGGTTATGCGTAAGAATAATTATTCATTTCAATATATTCACGGTGCATGATTTTATCCATACTTCAATTTTAGCGAGTTAATTCTGCAACGTTTTTAGAAAAAAATGCTATTAATTTGGCCAGTACTGTACATTGTACTGTTTGCATGTACATTATATAATTGGGATCCCTGCATTGACCGAAAAAGTTCATTAGGATTTTCCGGCGTGGTTTTCTCTTGTCAGTGGTGCAGGACGGAGGGCTTTCCCCGGTAACTGTCTAGTTATTCGGATGAGACGAAAAACCCAGATCCCCTGTTCACATACGCGGCACATGTAATTTGATATAAGAGTAGGCCATAGTGCCACTGCGCAAGCAAAATTGCCATCATAGTAAACTGTATGACGCATGTCCGCTTTCATTAGCCCAGTCGGAGCAGAATATTAGGGCGTTAAACTCCATTTCATTTCATGTATATTATTGAATGTACATACTTTAAATGTATTTGTGTAAACACTGGAACGGTATCAACATAGGCCTAGCTTGTTCCTCAATCCAATTTTAAATGACAATAAAATATTGTTTATATAAATACAATAATTTGTTTCAGGGGATAATAATCGGAGGAGATTTGAAAACAGCGCTTCCGTTAATAGTATTTGGTTCAACATGTGTAACAGCCGGTTTGCTGTCTCTACTTCTTCCAGAAACATTAAACCAAAAGCTACCTGAAACTATCGAAGATACTAAATCCCTTCATAGGTATGTAAAATATATTATATTCTTTAATGTAATGGGGGTCACTGTGCCTAAGTGGGTAAGACGCTGGCTCGGTAGCCGGGAGGTTGGTTGTTCGATCCCTGCATTGGCAGAGAATGTTCATCCAGATTTTCCGGCGTCGTTCCCCCTTGTCAGTGATGCAGGACGGAGGACCTGGCAAGGACAGCTGTCTAGTCATTCGGATGGGACGAAAAACCGAGGCCCCGTGTACACATTGGTGTGCACGTAAAAGATCCCTTGACAGTTGAAATTCGATATAAGAGTAAGCCGTAGTGCGGCTGTCCGGGCAAAATTTCCCTCATAGCACACTGATGGCGTATGCCCGTCTTCATTAGCCCTGTTCGGAGCAAACCAGTAGGACATTAAACCCCATTTCATTTCATTTCATTTCTTAAATGTAATGACGCATTGTTTATGTGTCCAATGGTTCGTTATGTTTTATTGTCATGCCAAGACGGTCAATGCACTATGAATGTCTCATTAGCCATGCTGAATTCATGTTAATGAAAACCCCACCGTTCTTTGCCTTAGACGGCTTTAAATAATGAGTAATAATCCACTCCACAAATACAGTAATTCATTGTTGAATTTGCTTAATTAAAGCATTTTTCTTGTATTTTTTAAGGAAAGGTCAACGTAAAGGTGAAATCGAGATGCCAGAAATCAACGATAATAATGACGTAATGGAAAAATTCCTGACTGTCGACAAGACAGTAAAGGCGTGAATATTTGAATATTGTATATTTACAGTTCTCAGCATTTAATAAATAATATTTGTATTTTTAAATATTGTCTCGCCATGAATATGTTTACTGTCCCGCCATATAATATTCCACTGCTGGAACGTCAGACAACATGAAATGCAATGGGGCTTGACGTCCTACTTTTCTCCCCCGACTGTGCTAATGGAGACATACAAACGCCATGCAGGGTGCGATGAGTGGGGGAGGGGTGTTGACGGGAAAACAGCCTTAAGGCCTACTCTTATATAAAATTCTGTAAAGGTTCTTTTACGTGCACGCCAATATTTACACCCTACCTGGTTCATGTGTAGGAAGCTAACGTTATTAGTCTATTTTGTGTTGTACAGCAGTGCGCCAGTAATGTGGTACGTGAAAACCTCAATAAATGAAATGAATTGGGGTTTAACGTATTACTTCCGTCCCGTTTGCTAATGAAGACGGACATACACCATACCATGTGATATACAGGATAATTTGCCCGGACAGCGGCGCTACGTCCTAATCTTATATCGAATTCCAACTGCCAAGATATTTTTTACGTGCACGCCAAAATGTACGCGGGACTTCGGTTTTTCGTCCTGCAAGGGGAAACCACACCGGAAAATCTTGAGCTTTCTCGGCCAATACGGGGATCGAACCCGCGACCTTCAGACTAGCGAGCCAGCGTCTTACTCACTTAGCCACCGTGGCTCCCTTTATTTCAACAATTCACTTGCGAATAGGCGTCCTTAGAAGTGGGAGGAAACACGATAACCTGGAGAAAACCCACGCGGTTGGACAGGCGATCCTACTCCTTGTCACGTACACGCGGGGAATCGAAACCATGTCACCGGACTCGATGACAGACATTGTTATTTCACGCGCATGCGTTAAACCAGTGGCCCCCTCTCCCCTACACTTAAACATCCATTATCTAAGAGCTAAATCTGCCTAATGCAGGTCTTTCTTTGAGCCTTAAAGGTATATTATAAATTATTACTTAGACATTTATTAACCTGATTTTAAATAGATTAGAACTGTTCGGTCATTAAATGATTTAATTTAAAAATGGATAAGCGAGAATAAGACTCGAATCACTAGTACGGTAGGAACGATCAATGCACAAATCTTATCAAAACTACAACCATTGATAACTTTGCTCAAAATAAAGTAATTATAGTATAGCGAGAACGGTCAGCTCTTTATCCAAATCTTAAATAAAGCAACTTTAATAAAAGTATTTTCGTGATGTGATTTTGGAGTGGAGTAGACTATGTGATATTATCTTTAGTATATTTATCAAGGCATTTGTATTAGCGTCGCGCGCTGATATGAATCTTTTTCCTCTTAGCTTAATTATGCTATATTCAATTCTAATGTAATTATGTTGTAAGGTGACACTCACCGAGAAACATAATAGTATAGTTTGATATTTAGACGTTTTTCGTGATTCTGTTAAAAAAAACACCCCCACCACACACACACACACACAAATACAAAGAATAATCAAAGTATCAAATACGATTGCACATCCAACATTTCTTCACCCACCAGGATAATGAATCCGTCCACCGAGAAACATTATAATATATATTGATATTTAGACGTTTCTGTTGATCCTTGAAAAAAGTGGTTTCGAATCCCCGGTTGTACGTGGCAAGGAGTAGGGTCGCCTGTCCAACCTCGTGGGTTTTCTCCGGGGCCTCCGGTTTCCTCCCACTGCTAAAGACCCCTACGCGCAAGCGAATTATGTAAATAAAATTAAACCATATGTTGGTCCCGAAATGACCTAGTTTGTGTCACGTGGCAGGCTAGCGATGCCATCTAGAGTTGATTATGCTCTGGATAGGTTAATTAATGTCTAATTAATAATTTAGATAACATTATTTCAGGCTTAAACAAAGACCTGCAATAGGCAGATTTAGCTCTTGCATAATGTATGTTTAAATAAGGTTTAACGTGCTACATTGCTTCACCCAGCGGTATAACGAATACAGGCATACTCCCTACACTGAGCTAAGAGGGAAAGTATGCCCGGTCAGCAATTGAATTCCAACAGTCAAAGGTAGTTTTATGGGCACACTAACGTGTACACGGGGCCTCGATTTTTCTTACATAGAAAGTTCCAAAAGCTTCGAGAAGGGGTGTGTGTGGGGGGGGGGGGGCGAATGGTTAGCACGTGCACGCTGTATCATAAGGTGTGTCATTGAGTCAACTGGCGTGGTTTCGAATCCCCGGTTGTAGGTGGCAAGGAGTAGGGTCGCCTGTCCAACCTCGTGGGTTTTCACCGGGTCCGCCGGTTTCCTCCCACTGCTAAAGACCCCTACACGCAAGCGAATTATTGAAATAAAATTGAGCCATATGTTAGTTCCGAAATGACCTACTTTGTGTCGAGTGGACGTTAAACCCCTTTTCTCTCTCTCTTATTACGATTCCGGCCTGCTATCCGCGACTAAAAGAAACAAAGATGATTTCGCATAGAGTACCATTATAAACATATTCTGGATTAAATATTTAGTTTCTATATGGAAAATAGTAAATGCAGCATCACCCCCCCCCCCCTGCCCCCCAAAAAATAAACAAAACAATCCCTGATTGTGTGTTGTACTATTTTTCATTGAATACACATTGTTAACATGTTTATGTATGGTTTAATGGTCGAGAGCGAGACATTAAGTAATATATTGATACTTCACGAGGCTTTAGCGGAGTGTTGTTTCGATATATTACGCAATGCCTTTTAGCTCGGGACCATTAAACAACTTAAAATACAGACACTATCCCGCACATGCTTTTCAATGAAATACGTCACGCGAGTCCAAAATTCATCTAGTATAGATAATGTACGATTGGAAAGTTGCCCGTACATTATTGGAAATAATGGTTCGCCAACATCCAAGGATGACGTCACATCTGTATTTTAATTCACTCTTCGAAACTGTGCTTGAAAGAAAAAAAATATCTGACAATTAAACATTAGACATAGATTGTACATTAATAGCCCAATATTCAACGTGGAAACGTCAAACTGAATGATTGATTGGACAATACGATGTGTCGCAAAAGAATTTGCCCGACAAAAATTATACTTATGTAACAAATTCTATACCAGACCCTCCAAATACTTATTTTTCTAACAAGCCTGTTTGGTAACGTGTTCCAACACTTGACAACGGAAGTCATTATAACTTTGTTTTTTGACAGTTCTGTTTCCATCAATTTTTAGATAGGATTTTCTGTATCTGTATATACCTGTCTGTGTCGTTTTACCTTCAAACAGGAAGTGTTACTTGTATTATAAAGTTCATAAAAGATTTATTATTTTAATCTATAGAGTTGTCGATAACAACAAGATGGTGTAACTTTACCTTCCCTAAATGACAACATGTCGTAGCAAATACTGGTCACGGTTTCTACACAATTAACAAACTATTAAAATAACGTGACCGGATCAAAAACGTCGATATTATGTAACCGAGAAGTTGTTGTATACGGGCATGGGATCCTCGCTATATGATATTACAATATCTAATTATACTTCCTGACCAGGTTGATGAATAAAAGAAACGGGACCAATATATGACATAACATACCAGTTAAGCGGTTGACGTATATAGATGGGCTGGTACTAGATACATCGAAATAGTTTCCAGGCGTAGTACTACAACGTATATCGTTAAGTATATATTTGTAATCCTTTATCCGGTGACGTATATATCTTAACTGGTCAGAGTAAGTATTATATCTTTGTTTTCGTTAATATTCACCATTATACACAAGCACGACGTTTCGATAATTATTCTCTTATCGTAACCACAAGCACATACCGATATATTCACATAATACATTGAACAATTGGTTCTAAAAACATATGGAGAGAGAGAGAGAGAGAGAGAGAGAGGGGGGGGGTTAACGTCCACTCGACACAGACTAAGTCATTTCGGGACTAACACTTGGTTCAGTTTAATTTCAATATTTCGCGGAGGGGTCTTTAGCAGTGGGAGGAAACCAGAGGACATGAAAAAAATCACGAGATTGGACAGGCGACCCTACTCCTTGAAACGCACAACTGGGGAATCGGAACCACGTCAGTTGACTCAATGTCAGATCTTATAATACAGAGCGCAGTTGATAACCATTCATTGAAGTGGTAATTATTTCCGCAGTGATGGTAATTATTCTCATTGGAGTGGTAATTATTTCCACCGATGTGGTAATTATTCTCATTACAATGAGAAGTTTTAAATCTTTTCAGAAGGATGGTGTTAGTTGGTTACAGAATGATAAAAATATTGATTTACTGTGTTTGTCTCTTTCCATGTTTTATACTATCTGGTAAGTAGAACATTATTTACTCATAACACGTGATAAACGCCCTGGTTAATAAACCAGTTAAATCATAATATACTCATAACACGTGGTATGCTGTCTGGTTAGTAAAACAGTTAAATTATAATCTGCTGATAACACAAAACACAACAGCTTATTTATTTATCTTGTGTTGATGTTGAATGAAGCGTAATATAAACGAATCGTACATTCTGGTTTACATTCAAAATCCCAAATGAAACACCCCATTGTCAGTTAATTTACTTCTAGACACACGATAGTTTCCTACTCGATATTATTTATTTATCTTGTGTTGATGTTGAATGAAGCGTAATATAAACGAATCGTACATTCTGGTTTACATTCAAAATCCCAAATGAAACACCCCATTGTCAGTTAATTTACTTCTAGACACACGATAGTTTCCTGCTCGATATTGGGGTTACATTATCGCCGTATATGATACAATGTTGACAATATTCCTCAAATTAGACTCTACGGTTAACGGGACTGTGGTTACAAATTCATCTGTGTTAATCTTATATATTTTACCTTTCAGAAACTAAAGTCAGTACAGCTTGTTTTGGCGCACTAGGTCCAGAAGAGTGTGCTAAACATAGACTCAGCTGTACAGAACCATTGTTTATATCAATAACTAATATAACATTTGGATATCGACGAGGGTGTAACTATTATGGTGTAAGTAGCTGTGTTAATACAACCTGCTGTAGAGAAC